CCCGGCAATCTGAATAGCGGCCACGCTGACGACTGTAAGTCCTGCGCGGAAGAGGCCTCATTCAGACTTCCGGGCGGTGTTTGTGGCGGCCCGGGAACCTGCATCAACAATACGCACCTCCTCAGTAGCCTGGGAAGCACTACAGTCGAGATCCGCCAATCGTTGCTCCTCAAACCAAGAAATTGTCTTATACCTTGGCATCAATCAGCAGTGGGCACTGCCCCGCAAGCTAGGATCCTGCAGTGATAGGCTGAAGCCCCGTGACCTGAATAAGTCTGGGTTGTGCGCGAAAATAGAAGGGTGGTCTCCGGAGGGTGGGGTTCCAACAATAGTACTAAGAACGTAGAACGCAGCCCCGCCACCGGTGCCACTGATAGTTTCAATTCATTTCGCACGCAGTTGAGCACTCAGTGAGCACAACTTATGGTTCCAGGAAAGCAGCGAGGATGGGATAAAGATGATTTCTCATTCTTACTTTTCAGGAAACTTCGGGCATATCTTCATCCTTCACTTGTTACCACATAAAAGCTAATTTCAGGTGTACTTGGTTAATTTCATTTCTCAGCAAATTGAGGGCATTTCTTTCATACCTTGTATCTCTACCCTACTCTGCAAAACTCCCTACTTGGCGCTGCTCTGGGGTTGCTTGCAGCCCACAATGGAGATAGAATGTATGTCTACATGAGACTATCTATAGAAATACTAATATTTATATGACTAATTTACACATGGCCCACATAAAGGGGTAGTGCCCATGTTAAAGGTGGGGCGGGGCGGGGGCGGGGGATGTAGCTCAGCGGTTTAGTGCATGCTTAGCATACACACTGGGGACTGAACCCAGTACCTACTCTAAAAATAAATATGTAAACCTAATTACCTCCCCCCAAAATATAAAAAAAAATTAAATTAAAATTTTTAAAAGGTGGTGCCTTTAGGTCATCCTTTATTCTTGCACTGGCCTTCTGCTCAGAAAAAAAAAATCCTATATCATTGATGCCCGAAATTCTTTCAACCAAGTACAGGCCCTATAATTTCACAATTAAGTTATTCAATTCAATTTAACTGATATCTACTAAACAACTACTTATGTGTCAGGCACCGTGCTAAACACTAGAGACCTAAAGTTCAATAAGAGAGTCCCTGCCCTCAAAGAGTTAACATTCTGAAAAGGGAGACAAGTAAATAAAACTAATATGTGACAAATATAAAATAAGTGAAAGTTCAAAGCAGCACATAGGACATGAATAATTGGAGGAATCAGGGAAGGCTTCCTGGAGGAGGAAACATCTGCGTTTGACAGACATGAAAAGATGTAAAGGGACAAACAGGAGTGGAAACTGGGAAAGGTAATTTCTTGTAGAGGGAATAGCATATGCAAAGTCATCCTGATTAGAAGCAGCATGCTACTTTTAGGTAATTATCATCAATTCAGATTTATAATGGAAGTGCTTAGAAAGGTAGTCTGGCTGGGGATGGGCAGATGAGAATGATCCTTCTATACTAAGCAAAGGATATTTGGCTTTATGGTGTAGGCAATAGGGAACGACTGAATGATCTTCAACAGAAAAAAAAAAGATGATCTGACTTGTTTTAGGAGGATTATTTTGCAGTCAACATAGAAGATATATTTGAGTTGAATGTGCGTAATGATAAAAGAGTATCTACAATAATACTTGGAATCAGGTGGGGGTGGTGGGAATGGAGAAAAGAAAATAGAGAAGACTGAGACTGAGGAAATAAAATAGATAGGACTTGTATCTTATTAGATATGGTGGCCCTATAATAGAAAAGAACAAATCTGACTTCATGTTAGATCTGTTCCTTTAACTTTAACCCTATGCTCTGTTTCCTAGGCTTCGGCTTGCTGGTTCTGCACCTTTTGTGAAAGAATGTTGCCTATAGCCTGAAATATACAGGAGAGCCTTTTCTCAAGGCTCTGACCTTTAAGGATATTAACACTTTTTCATTTGTATAAAGATAATAAGTTGCAGAATAGAAAATAACATTTGTTTCGTTGGAGGTTTACAGGGACACCTTGATCTGACCCATGTGGACAGCTGCAAGAACAAAGGATTCCAAAAACAAAGAATTCTCATACCAAAAAGTTTGCAACAACCAAGCAAACCCCCGTCCCCTTCTTATATTAAAGGAGCCTGAATTCTAACTTGGGAAAGATGGTTCTCCAGGACATTAGTCTACTGTCTTCTCAGTCTGCCGGCTTTCTGAATAAAGTCATTATTCCTCGCCCCAACACCTCGTCTCTTAATTTATTGGCCTGTTGTGTGGAAAGCAGAACGAGTTTGGGCTCGGTAACAGTAGAATAGTATGGGGCTTAAATGTGTGAGCTATGGACTTAGGCTGCCTGGGTTTAAATCCTTGCTTCCTAGTTGTAAAATCTTGAGCATGTTATCCAACAAGTTTTCCTCCTCTGTAAAATGGAAATAAGCCTAAAAGCTACCTCTGGGGTTTTCATGAGAATTAAATCAAATAAAATTTGTGCAAATAGTAAGTGCTCAGTAACTATTAGCTATTATTACTATTTTAGAGGAGAGAGAGGAAATAGATAAAATGACTCCTAGGTTTCTAATTTGGGTAACTAGGTGGATGCTGGTACCACCAATCAAAATTGGAATTACAGAAAGAAAAGTAAGTTTAGGAAGGAAGACAATGAGTTCAGTTTAGGTAAATCAGAGGTGTTGGTAGGACATTCACATGTCCAGGAGGCAGCTGGAAATACTGGCCTGGAGCTCGAGAGTGTGATCAGGGCTAGAGATACAACAGAGACTTGGGAATCATCAGCGTACATTGTAGAAAGAAAACCGTGAAGAGGCAAGGACAACATATTTTAAAATTGGTGAAGGCCTGTGGTGTTGATGAGAGTATAAGTCCATACAAACTTTCTGGGAGGCAAATTGGCAGTACATATTAAAAATAAAAATCTTCGACCTCAAGAAACTTGTAATACTGGTTTTCTCTGGAGAGCAGAACTGGAGAACAGGAGTCAGGGACCACAGGGAGAGTTGTTTTTTACTTTCATTTCATTTCTGTTCAAGTACTTTTGTATTTTTTTTAATTAAAAATATTGTTTATCATGTAGGTCAAAAATTTCACTTGGATCATAAAACTCAGTATCTTGTGTAAATGGCCAAATCCAGGGTTCTCCTCTGGTATCCACGTAAAATAACGTTCTGTACTCATTGAGAAGGAATAATGCCCATGAAAAAGTGGGGGGGAGGGGAGCTGGTAAAATATTGTAATATGATACCATTTGTATTATAGTATATGTAATTTTTTAAGATTATAAGGATATAAATCAAAATGTTAGTAATAGTTACCTCTGTGTGGGGGTGGGGTTTCAGTTTTATGTTTTAATTTGTCATTTTCTGAAGGACTTGTTTTTTGTTTTTTTAGTGTAGGTACTGGGGAATGAACCCAGGACCTTGTGCATGCTAAGCACACGCTCTACCACTGAGCTATGCCCTCCCCCGGACCTGATTTTTAACAATAAACATTTACCTTTTTTAAATCAGAAAAAATAGAACTATTTCCATTTGGGAAAAAAATTAAAGGACAGGCACAAGAAGAGAAGCTTGTGAAGGAAATCCAGGAAGGAGTTGTCAGAGAGGCAGAAAGAGAACCAGGAGACAATCGTGATCTGAAGGGGAGGGATAAAAATGTTTCCAAAAGGAGCAAGTAGGTGGTTAACAGTGTTTAATACAAGAGAACGGTCAAATAAGGTCTGAGAGATGTCGACTCAATTAGTCAATTACCTAAATGTGAGAGTTTTCGGTAGAGTGCAGGAAATAGAACCCTGATTGCAGTGGATTAAGAATTGAATCAGACGTGAAGTGGAAACATTTTATAGAGACTATTCTTTTGAGAAACTTTCCCAAGATTCAAGGAATGCGGTAGCTTGAGGGCAATGCACTGTCAAAGAAGGATTTGTTTGTTTGTTTAAAGAGAAAAGAGACTTGAATGTATTTAACAGCTGGGGGGAAATGATTTTATAGAAAGTGAGAAGTTGAATATACAGGTAAGTAAAAGGATTTGATAGGGTGGAGAGGTGAGGAGTACTGAGCTAGTTAAGTCCTTTGCAATAATAACGGGATTAACAGCTATTATCAGCTGGCTCATATACACACACATGCACACACGCACACATGCACACACACACCTTTTTACTTTTCATAAGAGGCACAGAGCTTCACAGTTACCAAGTTGATGTTGGGCAGGTCACAGTTATCCTCTGTACTTCAATTATCACACACACACACAAAGACACACACACACAAAGAATAAAATAGCCAAGTCAAATCTCTTGGCAAACAGGTGACATCAGAAGTTGATGTGAGAGCCATGTTCATTTTCCTCTCTATTGGGTTTCCTTGACTATGTTAATTCTTTGCCAAAAGGAGTCCAGAGTAGGGGGCAGGGGAATGAGGGAGAGAGATTTAGGGTCCTCAAATTGGAAGAAATCTCATTAGTTCATCTTCCTGCCCACAGGCAATACTGTACCTTAATTAAACAGACATCTATCCATCTTCCTGCCCTTAAATTTTTCCCAAAGGAGATTGCACAATCTCCAGTTCAGTCATATGCAACCATACTGACAAGAACTTCTTTCTGGTCTCTATTCAGACTGTCTTGAGGAATTGGCAAATCAAGACC